AGGGGCGGTTGGGGGGGGGTTTGTCCTCTGCGGGGGAGCAGCCTGCCTCTGCCCCCGCACCCGCGCTTAGAGCCCCCTTCAGCAGCTTCATCCCGTACCCCAAGGGGCCCCTGGGTGCGCGAAGCCCGAACCGCTCCGCCGCCTTTCCACACAGGGGCTTCTGCCGGTGACAGCCTGAACGGGGAAAGGCAACTCGTGTGAGACAGCTTCGGTTATCAACATGAACAGAAGCTGTTTTTTCTCTCTTCTAGGTGATGCAAATGGGCACAAAAATGCTTGCAAGCCTTGAAAGTCACGTCGCGCGGTGGCAGATGGATAGCTTGCTATTCTCGGCTCGCCCTTGAACTCTTTGGCACAATACGTTCACGCTAGCGTGCGAGATGCAACTTAGGTTTCCTACGTCCCGGGCTGAGTTTGGATGTTTTGTACTACGAGGCTTTATTTGGACAGCCAGGGAGCGGTCTCTGGGCAGAGGTCTGTCACGAAGGTCACCCCGGCCTGTCACTAAGGCGGAGGGATCGTGGGCTTCTCCTGAGTAGCCCGAACTCCCCCCGCTCCTCAGAGCCACGAGGTTTAAGCAAGCCGCAGCAAACCACTTGGTTCCCATGGGAATCGGTGTAACGGTACCCTTTAGTAAAAGCAGTACTGGGAAAAAACATTACGGAAAGAAACTTGGCATCAGTAACAACCACCAGAAGCATCAAAGTTGTACTGGTGGAGTGAAAAGCGTTACTAAAATGGTTACGCATCTGAAGAGTCATCAAAACCAGGTATCTTGTTTCCCCAGGGAAGGGAGATACTTCTACAGAAAGATGTGCTTGAGCCTAGGGGAAAGGATATAGCATAGAAGCAAGACAGTGCACATTTTATTGCGGACAGGTCACACTTTCATCAATTAAATAAGGTAAAATCAGTAACTTCAGCCAGACAAATCCACTATTCATAAAAGTAGTCTTATTTAAGGTGTAACAAAATTTTCCTGATAAGATGGTCTGATTGACTGAAGCACATCCAGCCATTAATTTTTTTTTACTGCACCAATAATCAGATTTTTTTAAAAAAATGAAAACCTTTGGTAAAGTACAAACACAGTTTTAAGACGAACAGGATCAATGTTCCATTCTTACTGTGCTGGGAAAAACAAGTACAGCTCTATAACTGCTGTGATACCTAGAAGAGGTTTAATTAGAGTAAGTGAAAGAATTTTAAAATAAACTTTTAAAGAAAATCTAAAAGGAATAAACTAAGTTCAATGTCCCAAACATATTTAACAATGAACAGAAGACTGGTTGTTCCACAGGTATTCTAAATTAGCGACAATGAATTAGTCCGCACATCCTTTGTCCAGACATTACAGATTCCAAAATGGAATGTAATTTGTTCAAACCAAGACTTCTGAATTTTCATATCCATACAATATTTAAGAAATGTCTATTCCACCATATAAAAAAGCTTTAATATACTACAAAGTTAAAAACAAAAAGAAAATGACACAAGCTAAAAGTAGAAAAATACATTGTAAAACATTTATATTTTGTTCCTTACACTGATCAAGATATAACAAAATACTTTAGATTAGACCACTTTCATAAATTCATGGCATTTTCAGAAGCAGACAGTTATCGACTCAACGGTCACTGGTTACCCACTAGCCAGCATCCAGTAAAGATGTCTGACCATCGCAAACATCCAGTATATTTTAAGTTTCTAGAAATCCTGTGTAGACGTTAAGCTTTACGATTACTAGAAGAGTCCAAAAATACCAGAACTATTCTAAGTTAGGCTTGACAGTCAGTTAGCATCCCTCCTCTGTATAGCAATCAGCCAATCTTTTGTAAGGGAAGACCTTGCGAGTTTAGGTTGCCCCAAACGTACAGCAAGGACCTGTGTCAGCTCTGAGGTGAAGGGGACCGTCCTAGCACACTCTTCCACTTTTGTTGCCTTCTTGCTTGCATCCCTAAAATTCACATGATATTGAAAAAACAGAGATGATGGGGGAAAAAAAATTAAAAGAGAGGTATTATCTAATAAATATCAAAAAAGAATACATTACACATAATGGTGCTGAACCTAGTTTTAAGACCTTATTGGCGTGGTTTTTTTTTTTTTTCCCTGTGCAGCACGCATCCGTGCTGCAGGCAGGCCTGCCTCTGAGCAGCAGGTGGTGCTGGTCTCACAGCAATAACACCAACATCCTCCAACACTGCCTCGTTAGGCTTTTAAAAAAATACATATAGATCATTTCATTTGGAAAATGTATTTGCAGCATCTCCCTAAAGTTGTTACCACCAGAGTAGGAAACCGCTACCTTTATAGAGCTTGTCTGGATTAGACATAAGGTTGCAAATATGGTGTAAACAAGTTAGTGGCAGGTCTGTATGTAACGGTAGAAGATCGGATGGCTATTAAGAAGCACTCTTTAAACTGGTATTAGAAGAAAACCAGATTCCACTTCAAATAGAGATGTCTGTTACTATTAAAATCTAATTCATATACATGCATGTATAAATACATCCACCCATGCATTCAAACGCAAGTATGTAGCACTGCCGTTGGTAGCCTGTAAGACTGCCTAGATTTATACCAACTGAACCAAATTTGTTTTCTCACTTTAGGGCTTGGACATAAACCAGGTTTTACACTCTGGCTTTCTCCTGACTAATTTTGCGCTGCATGACAGTTTTATGTCTAGCTCCAGATGCCACGTTTCCTAGAAAGCAACAGTTTTCTGCACCCGTGAGGTCTACGAGAATATCAGCTCTCTGTTTTGTGCATAACATGTTGCAAGAGTCAATTGTCCCAATTGGCACTTAAGACTGAAAGGAGAGTTGCGGGAATTGCTACTAAAGTGTAATGACTGTTCCATCCTCCTCGATACCTCCTCTGGGGATAACCAGACTGTGTCGGGGATCAGTTTTTAAGGAACTGAGTAATTTGTGGATGTTGCCGTTGCTTTCTCGGCCAGAGTTGTTGTTGAGCACCAGGTCCCTTTGAAGTCTGTGGCTCAGGCTGCTGCCATTGATTCGAGAGAGGCTACTGGAAGTAAGGCTGTGCAGTTTAGGAATGTGCTGTGGCTCCAGACCGCCCTCGATGACAATGTCAGCCTCTTCGTCACTCTCCATTTCATCAGGGTGGAAGTTCTGCAGCACGTGGGATGTAGGCAAGCTATGGTGACTAGCAGTGCTGTCTGTAGACTGGCCAGAGCTACCCGACATCCTACTGCTTCGAATAATATTGTTCCTCTGGTTTGCCGGCTTGACCGTGATAATAAGATTATGGCTGTTGGCAATCATCATGTCTGTGACTTGGTCGAGAGTTTTTCCTGCTACTTCAATGCCGTTAACTTCCAGGACTTCATCATTCACAGCCAGCAAGCCTGTGCTCTCCGCTAAGCCTCCAGGAACCATACGAGAGATGAAGATACCGGGTACTTTTTCTAGTCCATGAGGAGTAACCCTTACGCTGGTGCCGTCGCGAATGTAAAATCCCAAGGGTTTCTCACACCCATGCCGATACAGCCTCACTCTCCTGTGCGTTTCAGGAAGAATGTCCACATCGATTATGGAAGACACTGGTCTAAAATCATGAGGCATGCTAATGTTAATGTGGGGACGCCGGCGGAGGTTGTCATTGCGGAGTGTCACCAGAGCCTTCTTCTTCCTCGATAGCGTGTTGGTCCCAAAATTACTGTAGTCCACTTCATCTGAAAGAGAAACAGTACCAATGTATCAATTAAACAGAGAATAATTCAACCTACAGGGCATTTTCCTCTTAAATCTGGTTCAATGAAGACACACTCCTAATAATTTGGAAAAAAATCCAATTAATTCTTCCGCTTACTCTAACCATTGTTTCATTTTATGTCCAGCAGCACATCATTCAGAATAAATGAGTTGTTTTCAATGACTACGCATATTTCTTCCATATTTTAAGGGAAAAAGACTTCTTATTTTCAACTCCTGTTGTCAGCTGTGCAGAATGCAATTACTTGCAGCTGCAGGCCTGGTACACCATCTTAGACGTGAGACCGTATTTTCAGAGTTGGACTGTAATTGTATACACACATCTCAAGTGGGCAAGGAGCATATACACATTCTTAGCCTAAAAGTCTGAATCGGGGAGTATTTTAATATCCAATACACAGCCTTAACTGATAGCAGACCTTAAAACATGAAGGCAGGGTGTGAGAGAGTAGTTGGATATGTGCTTTTAGCCTAGCCTTTTTTAGTAAGGAATTTATGTTAATATGCATCTCTTGGTACAGCATTTTGCTCTTTGGAATATTTTACTTCACTTCAGCTGAATTTGACAGCAATAAGAAGTGCTAAAAGCACCAGGTACCAAAAAAGTTCTGTGTAAGCAAGCGGCCTGGTAGGAAGAGAAGCAGGGAGAAAGAAACTGCTCTGCTGCCGAGTCCATATGTAAGGGATCACAGAACAAGACACGGACTCGTACACACACTCCTGCCCTTGAGAGGAAGATCCATAGGAAAGCAGCCTTTGTAGGGTCTACTGCTTAAGGACTTGTTTAAATATTTCTGTCTCTGTAGTGGTATCTCAAGGGCATGTGCAGAATGATCAGCTTTAAATCAGCCAAGTAATATGACAAGTTATTCCATATAAGAAGCTCATGTTGTGCTTTGCATAAAAAATACTTAGTCATGAATTTAATGTACAAAATGCGTCACTGCATTTCACATTAAAAATACTCTGCGTATTTTAAACGTCAAGCATGCACTAGCTGGAGAATTATTTCACTGGGAGTTTATGCATGCTAACACTTTTCAGATAAACTAACAGACTTTCGGTTTATTCTGCTGTTGAAGACGAGCAGTAAAACACAAAAGTACAACTATAGAACTGCCACTAAGAAAATTTTATTTCTGACAAATTGACTGTGCATAGTAACATTGGAGAAAGTAAGACAATACCTCTACCTGCTAAAGGTTGGGAAAAAAAAAAAAAAAGTATTAGTAAAAACAAGCTTATAATTACATTTTTTTTTCTTGTAAGGTCTCATTTTCAAATCAGCTTTCAAGGCATATTATTGTCAGACTTCAATTAAGTGACATGAAGTTACACAACTCAAAGGACACGAAAAAAAGTACAAAGCAGCAACCTGATCTAACTGAGCCTGCTTGGAGCAGGGTGTTGGATTAGCTGGCCTCCAGAGGTCCCTTCCAGCCTAAATTATTCTGTGATCCTACATAGTCCTTTGGGCTGGAAAAAAAATCATTTGAAGACTTTAGAAAGACTATTTCTGCATTCCCCTGTAACTTATTTACACTGGCTATACTAACACTTGACATCACAAGGCATCTAGAAGGTCATCCTGAAGGAAGAGCTTCTGTGAAATAAAGATACTCCTTGGACAAGTTTATTGTGTTTAACTTCACACCTCGCCTCTTGTCTCTCCTCCCAGGCTGTTCAGAGCCATACCGACTGCACAGGCCCTACTTTGTAATTTAGACTGGTGAGGCACAGGACTGGAAGTCCTTAAAATCACCCGAAGACGAGAAGCTCCCAACTGGTTCCTGGGAGCGTATTCACAGCCAAGACCAGTGACTGCGTGGAGACGGCACCTTCTCAAGTCCACCTGGCAAGCAGAGTCAGTGCAGTGTCTACTCTTTTGAATGCACAAGCCACCTGCGGCAGCCAAAGCCAGGTATTGTTCCTTTTCTTTCATCAACAGGATCACCATCATCTACATGGACCTAGACTAAGTTTTGATGGATGATTTTGAAAGTCGGCAACAAGTGTTATTTCCTTGTAAAGTATAGGTCTACAAGAGATGTCTTTCATCACCACAGTCTCAAACACTGTGCCCTGCTCACCCTTACAACTCACTGATAAATTTCTGTGACAGCCCTAGGAAAACAACTTGGGGATTCAGATTTAGAATCGAAATTCTTCCTCACTTGAAACAGAGCGCTGTAGAATAGTAGCACTGTACCTTAAAGCCCAAGACAACCTTTATCCCAAAATTTCAGTTTAAGATGGCACTTAATATTACATGTGGGTTTATGTGTTTAAGACTGTCTCTTGCAGTACTGGCAAACCAAACTCAAAACAAAAGCTGCATCCCTTAAAGACTCAGAAAATTAGGTTGGCAAGTGTAGTTTATTGTACTGCCCGTAAAATGAAACACATGCCCTAGTTATACATCTATTCCCCGAAAGCACCCAGGTAACTGCTCTCTCCCTCTCTATGTTAGCGTATTAATACTGAACCACTTTAAGGCAGACTTGCAAAAGCTTTACCAAATAATTCACCTAGGAAGATTTGTTGACAATACTGTTTTCTTCCCCTTAAATTAACAACCACCCTGAGAGTTAATTCTCTCAACATGCAAGCTGGTGATGATCAGGTAGTAATGTCACAGGAGAATTACGACGGTCCTCCTGACACACACAGGTCACTTTTGAAGCAGCTTCCTTTGGCTGAAGCACCAATGTGCAATGGCACAAAAGAAGTGGTTGTTTTGTGCCTGTGACCTCCTCACCTGCGCTCAGCCCACTACTCTGTCTCCCCAGATGATTGCCAGCATTCCTAACCTCTGAGCAGCTTCAAAACCACCACCTCCTTTAACAACAAAAAGCCCAGCTTACCACAAAAATGCTATCTTATTCCTCTAAACATGAACCAGGCAGAAGCAGGGATTACATTACAAGGGATACAGGCTACTTTCAGTGTTGGACCACTAACCGCTCT